TTTTCAACGTTAAAATGAATAAAAAAACATTACATTTTTGTTTGTTGTTCTAGTTCTTACTTTTGATTCACAAAAGTTTATGCAAATTTTTGTTGGTTTTTCATGGTCGGCGAAACAGCTCGTTGACCCTCAGTGAAGTCGATTTTTGGTGCTGAATTATAAATGTTTCAAACAATATTTGTTTATTTTTTGCGTGCACATTGGCGGCATTTGTAAGATCTAAAAAGAAATGTTCACATCCGTACATTTTGTTTACGACACTTTCGATATAATATGCCGGCAAAACATATTTAAATCGTTTAACTTTTGCTCTGCAATGTCTCTATTAAATTGTTAGGTTAATTGATAGTTTGCGTAAATGATTTATACCACAAAGTTATTCAAGTTTACGATAACAATAAGTGCATTTTAAGGTGGCTAAAAAAATGTACAGTGCCCAACATTTCCAGATGTGCGATTGACAATTATTTGGCAACATTGCTTTTGTTCCAATATAGTCATATATGATTGTAGGTGCAGTTCGCAGAACTTCTCTCATTTTTCAGCATTTAATTTAAACGTCAATCGTACATCTAGAAATGTTGGGGACGGTACGTAAAAATATTGTGATAATATATTTAATTTTATCAGATTTATAGTCAGAATAGCAATGATGTCCATAATATGGACTCCATCTATTTAAGAAAAATAAAAGACGCGGTTAAAGTAGAAATGGCCAAACTGGAAACTAAATAGTCTCGAAGAAATCAAATTTAAAATTGTAACACATTTTCGAAATTTTTTTTTTTTTTTTCAAATAAAAAAAAAAAAAAAAAAAAAAAAAAAAAATTAAAAAAAAAACATTATGAATTTAAGAATTCATGAATACACACGATTTACTATGATGATATTGATAAAAATTATGTATCTACAGTATGGTTGAAAATTGCATCTACAGATTTGCATTATCGAATTAAGATTTTGAAAAGGTGCGGAAAACTACTCCAAGGTAGCATTAAATTTTGATAAAATTAAAATAGTTTTCTCCACAGATACATCAGTATAATCGTTTTCTTCACATTTTAATGGTCGCAGGTTTCATATGCTGGGCCAAACCTTACTGCTGCGTTTGTAAACATTTAGTCAACGCAGACAAATATTTTATTGTTACATCGGATTAAATCAAGAAACCATTAAATTGAGTGGACAAAACGCTTATGCGAACAATGTCATCGTTTTGTGTCATCAACTGAATCACACATACTGTCTATACCTAAAAACACCTACTCACAATCCAATATTCTCAATATTTTCATGCATATCTCACAAAATTGTTAGCATATCCATAAAATAATTGATTGCATTTTCTGAAAATGCACTTTGCAACAAGTATACTTGTGTGGAAAGTATATAACTAAAATTCAATTTTTAGTTCTCTATTCATCTCGGAATTGCAACGCATATGGAATGAAAGAACAATGTCCTAACGAATTTTAGTTGCACATTCACATACACACATATTTACTCAAATAAATATGCATAATGCATAAAGCATAATCAATTTTCTACAATAAAACATGCCATATTGACTCGATATACGATAAACACATTCAAATACCAAGTACTTGATGGCATGCACCCTACTTATGTCATCTAGCATCACTTCCGGTCACTTATAATGCTCAAAAATCCCACACCAAATGGCATAAATGAGTTGATAAATGCTTGTGGAAATTATTGTGATAAAAAAGGTTTTTAAGAAAATATAAAACATATGATGAACAAAACACATACTCCCACTTCGATTAAATCTTTGAATTTGATCGCATTTTTGAAATAATTGGAACATTTAAAACATTTTGATGGAAAACCAAATAAAGTATAAAACTAAGTGTATATATGTTTTCGGAAATTTAGTGTTTTACAGGCGACTGAACAAAGCAACCATTAAGATAAACTAGATAAAGTTGGAGCCACGTCCCAAAAAAATGCTGACATAAAAAACATTTAGTATTTTAGGTAACATTCACACATATATATATAGATATTATATGTTCTTCCAAAATGAATCGGGTAATAACATCAAAGTTTGCTGTAAATGAACTTTTGACCGATTTCTGCCCGAGTAAAATTTGTTTGAGATCAACTTGTGAATTACATGCACATAATTGCGGAAAACATTGCAATATTTTATGAGAATAAGAAGAAGGAGTTTCATGTGGTAGAACATTAGATCGCTTCCGATGATTAGGCAAACTGGGATGCATAGATTGTATTGGATTGAAATGTGGAAAAACATACCAGCGAGAGCTCTTTGGCGGTTTAAAGTTTTGATGCGTCAAGAGAAAATGGGAGAAAAAGATCATTGGCAGAAGAGGATAGAAAAAAAAACAATTTGTATGGAAAGAAAACAAAAGATTCCAATGCACACAATAAACTTTGTACCATTGTGCACGAAACACATGGAAAATTATTTACTTGTTTGCTCCAATATACAATCCGGCTATGCATAGTCGATCTTGAGTGAAGAATGCACATCGGCACACATTTTCAAAATTCCATAGAGCTACTTTCTCTCTCTCTCTCTCTCTCTCTCGCAATCACACCAATACAGTGATATCACTGTTTTCGGTGCCGTCTTATCTTTTTTCCTCATCATTTGCATACAGATCAACATCAATTTCGATGCAATAATATTCATAACCAGCTATTAAACAAAACTATTGTTTGCATTTTCAAGCTCTTCTGTTTATATCAACAGAAACCGTTTTTGCAGTGATGTGGCAAATTTTATCGCTCAAACTTAAATCAATGCGTTGAAAAGTTGAAAATGAAATGCCAACTTACAAAATACTAACAGTTCTCAATCACTTAAATCCATAATACTCATCAAACCGCATACGTTCATTCATTTCGTTCATTTTCACATACATTCATACACAATTTTTCTTATTCGATTTGTGCGCTTCATTCTTTTGTGCTTATTCAGTATCTCTATCTCTTTCTCGCCGGTCGATCTCGATTTGTCTTGTCTGTCTGCCTGAGCATTGCTCGCACTTAATATTTAACACAAACACATTGAAATGTCAACAAAAATAAACACATTCAGTTGTTCTGCCTTTGCCATTGGAATATTCGAAGCGCATACGCGCGGTCGTTTGTTGCGATTACAATTCAAGTCTATGCACACGTAACGCTTCTCCCGCATCCATACTTTCTATCCGCGAGACATACAATAACATCCGACACTCTTGCACATTGAAAATCGGTGCCGTGATATGCATGGTATGTGTTGTATGTGCTATCGCTGTTGCCGCTCACGCGCTGCTTTAACATTTGCTCCGACCGCTACTGTGTGTGCTGGAGAGCATACACAACACAACGTCAGTACTCAGCGCTGTGTTTACGGTGTTTGTGCAAGCATAATATCAGTCTTATTTCGAATGTGATTGACAATAGACGTTATTTCGTTTGTGTGTACAATCTTCGAGTCAAAATCGCGAAAATTACAAATTCTGAATCTTATACGGTCGATGTGCATGAGCTAAACGGATTTTTGTTTTGTTTTGTTTAAAATACAGTTTGCATGCAATCGCAATGAGCGAACAATAAAAAAAATTCAGTAATTTAAACCTCAGATAAATGAAATTATTGTGTGAAAAATAAACCGGAATTATTAAATTTTCGTTCGCTGATTTTCGGTGCACGCACATAAAATTGCCAAAAATTACCAGTGTATTTGAAATCTCGCCACAAACACAAGTTTACATCTCACCTTCACCATTTCATTTCGTTTCGTTTTGGTTTTAATTTTTAAGTTTTTTGTTTTTTTGCATTGAAAACAATGGAATACGTATTCATTTAACTGAAGGAAATTCCTAGAACGAGAAATGATAAGGCAAGATCCAAATAGTGCTAAAAATAAAAATAATAACAAAAAAACCGAATAAAAACCATTCAATCGAACTACATATGTGTATGTTATTTCTTCGTATGTAAATCAGATTTATGACAATTTTTCTCTTTCGCTCATCTCTTTCGTGGTTATGACTATCGCTAACTTCGCAATTTCAATTCAGACATTTCTGTGTATTCCCATACACAACAACCGATAACCGGACAGAAGTGCACAGTCGACGAGTGAGCTTACTTGTTGTTTGCATAAAATAAAGCGATACCAAAGCGAAAAAAAAACAACAAATTATACAAATAGAGTTCGTGTAAAAAAATATTGAGACAAAATATAAAATTCTCATACACACATCATCTTTAGCTACGTGTATATACAGCTCGACAAATATCATAATCATCATCAGAGCCCGAGAGAAACAACTTGCTGCTGCTGCTCGCTTACGTTTGGGTTTTTTTCGTGGTCATTTTCGATCGCTACGAGTAAAGTTGTTTTGCTTGTTCCGTATAGACAACGTCAATTCGAGAATACACAACAAATTAGCAGCACACACAAGTTAAGCCATATATTGAAAATAGCGTACATATACGCACAACTACAAAACCATTGACGATCGCAACTGTATAAATTATGTAATTTCAATTGCCAAAACAAATTTTGTGTAAATTGTATTGGCGAAAACTGAATACAAAAGAAAGAAACAGCAACAAAATAGTGAAATTGAACGTACGTGTTAGTGTTGCGTTTTAGATGTGACTTAAGTGAAAGATCGAACCAAATGTATTGAATATTTAACACATTTCTGTTTCGACACCAAAATATATAACTTGAAACTAATCGACGAACGAGAATAGCGAGAGAAAAAAAGCATTCTATGGGCGTCTTTCGTATCGTAATAAAGTGAACATCACATTCTTGTGACGATAAAAAAAAATCAACGGCACAAGTTTATGTACTTGCTCATTTGATACATGTCGACTTCAATTCATGAGATGGACGTTTTATATCGAGTTTTTTTTTTCATGTTACCGTGATCCGGTTGAACTTTTGAATTAAAATAGTAATATCAATCAAATAAATAACAATCAGAAATTTTGAAAAATATATATATAAAAAAACACGAATTGCTTAAAATCTTCGTATCGACACAAGAAAACCCAAAGAAGAAGCGAAGGAAACGAGTTTTATTTCGATTTATTGTGTGTGATTGAATGAACGGTTGGTGACCATCAAAATAAAAGTGTTAAAAATTGAGGAAAACAACAACAAGAGAGAAAGAGTGGGAGATACTGAAACATCAACTCATTGCGCTGCTGCTCCATGAAGTAATCTAAAAGCGAACGCACAAATTAAAATTATTCAATTTCGCTAATAATAATTTTGCACGTCACGATATACTCTCAATGCTTTTATACTAACAAAACGCACACTGACTCCATTTGAGACGAACGGCAGAGTTTTTGAGTGACAGCAGCGTATTGTTGCGGCAATTCGTTATTTATTATCGCCAACACAATTGAATGTTAATTAAACTTTGCGCGGTATAAAAACAATTTTGTGCTAACGCCGAACACTGTAAGTACAAAAACGCATCAATCTCAAAAACTTTACTCCAAAAGAGCTCTGAGACAAAAATTACATGCGTTTAATTGTGAATCAGTTGTTTAAAACGTCTTGTTTTCTTAAGTTTTGAAATAACTTCTGATATTTGAGTATCATCAATTGCAATTATCAAACTATATAATTGGTTTTGCAAAACTGAAGTGCTGAAAAAAAATCATCCGTAAATTCTGAAGAAAGTTTTGGTATAAATTAAACTATTGAATTTGCTGATATAAAAAAATACCGCCCAAATCAACGAGTGTGACATTTTACCAACCGCCCGAATTACAGGTGAGAAATCGTTTCGATTGTGAATATTTAAATTTATTGCATGTAGATCTCTTTTTTTGTATGCCAACAAAAGATTCAAGCATTGTGCACTGAGTGAGAGATGCAGTTTTGAATTGGCAGAATTGCGGTGCCATGTGTACATGTATGCATGTATGCAATGAATTGAAGTGCAGTAGAATAATTCCGTAATTGCACCATGTGCTCGATTGATGTGATTCAATTATTTGCTTTTAATTCTATTAAATTAAAACTGGAATGCCGGGGATCAATGCATTAACGGCAAAATTCGTATACGAATCCATATGTTGGCATTCGACAGTGCCATTAATAGTCGACGTCGTCGTCGTTCTCGTTGCGAATCCAATTTTTAATTTTACGCCTTTAAATGCATTTGCATGTACTTGTACATGACACACACCGCTATGTGTGTGTATTTTAGTTTAAAACACGTGTACACATTTTTAGCCCAAATAAATCGGTATTTCAGCCAGATTTTGTTTCTTGTCCAAGAATTCGGTTAACAATTGAATTTGAATTCATGTTTAAACCATTTGTTAGTGTTTTTTTTTTTGTTCCGTTTCGTTCGATTGTTCGTTTCACCGAATTTTCAATTTGATGCAAAACTCCATTTATATTGAACGATTTAAAATTTAATTGAGTTAGCTGGATTTGTCAATCGAAATTCTAAACAAAACTGTTTCCGATCACAAAATACACTGTCTGTGCTGCGTACTATTTCGTAATGTGAAATCGATACATTTGTCGCAATAGTTTTGTGGCAGCCGCATTTTTAATGAACCAATACACACAGAGAGAGAAAGAGACACAGAGAGAACAATTAACGGATTTAAGTTAAAAAAGGGCCTGTTTCAATCAATACTGTGAACATATATAAATGCATGTACATATAAATTTCTGCTTTAATGTTTTGTCTTTTTTTATGGTCACCGTCAGCCAATATATGCTTTGTTAGCTTCTCATTAGATTTTCCGTTTTGAATTAATAAAAAATAAATAATGAATTTTCCACCAATACGACAATTCTACATGTGTACAAATGTATTTAGATATGTAACATAAATATTGTATTTGAGAAACTCTCTCTTTCTTCCATTCGATTTGTCATTTTTTCAATTTTATCATTATTCAATTCTCGCATAATTTTTCTTTAAAGTAAACACACTTCTTTTTTCGTTCATGTCTTGTTCACCATTACCACCTTACATTTCGATGCAATGAAAATTGGGTGGAGACATGTTAAATGTTTGCGGAGTGACCGTGAACGAGAAAGACTCTGAGAAGGTGAAAAATGCAAAAGGAAAATAAAATGTGTGTATGCTCAAACACAAATATTTCTCCAAAATTGTCTAAATAAACATTTCAGATACCATAGACATTTTTTTTTTTAATGGAAAGGTATACATAAGTAGATCTTAAGTATGTAGCTTACGAGGCATAAGAGAGGCAAAAAGAGAAAATAAGAGAAGCCAAATCATGGTGTGTGTGTGTGTGAGAGAGAATGAAAATAAGAATATCACCATTCGCAATAGCGTTTATGTGTACTTATAAATATGGGCAAACACAAACCCATACGTGACGGGAAAACTGACCAAAGAACATTCGAAGAATTACAACGTGTTTGATACACAAAACAAACAAAACACACAAACGGGATGAATGAAATAGTCAGAGAGAACGAATTAACGGCCATAAACAACGAATGACAGACTTGATATGCGCATACTTCATATATAGACCATTCTCATGCCAAAATAAACTTTTCTTCGCCGGTTTTTTTCTTTTCGATTGCGCTCATCATTCTTTTATGTGATTAATGGCTTGCTTTTGATATGAATTTCAGATCGAATGGTTTGATGTTGTTTTCTCTTTACCCAATGATGATGATGATGATGATGATGATATACTGCAACGATGTCGATCCCATTTTTCTGCGAAGATTATCATTCTTTGCACAGCACACCAGCAACACTTTGGCCCCAGATTCAACTTTGAATAATCGCTGACAAATGAAATTCGGATCTTGCCATTTTGCCAAGCGGCACACAGTCGGGGCCGTCACCTGAATGCGCCACATTTTTTCCATTTATGAAAACTGTGCTCATTCGATCGAAAAACGATTCGATTATATTACTATGTGTCCGCTTCGTCCCAAAACTTATTCAGTATTTTCATTTTGATGGCATCAACGCGCATCATTATTATTCTTAGTTAACAAACTAGCAACACAACATCACCCGAAAAACTTTCAAACACCAAATACAAAGTTTGGGTGTATTAATATTGGCGGCGTGCGATTAAAATGGGCCAAGAAAGATTATCAGCCGAATTAATTATGTAACTTGAGAACAAAACATGATTTTTTTTTTTGTTTTCGTCGGAAGTTTTTTTTTCGTTCATCATAATACGTTCTATTCTTAGTTGATAAAAGTAAACAAAAATTCACAAATATTGGAATATAAAACGAGCAGTGTACACATTGTATAAAGCTCAGAAAATCGATATGATTTTGACCATTTTGGAATGTAAGTTTCTTAAACGACATTTAAATATGTCTTTTGATATTTTGATGACTTCTAATGACTTTGCACATTAAAATCATTTTTTTGTTCCTTCGTCGTCTTGTCGTCATTGTCGTTTTGAATCGGCAAAGTTTTCACGTCGATTTTCATTCACTGACAGTTAAATGGGCAACTGAACGACCGAATAAAATGGTATGGCAGAGAGAGAAAAAATATTCCTACTTATTTCTTCTTCCAATTCAAACAAGTTTTTCTTCTTTGCTTTCAGTGCTTGGCACCATTTATCGAATAGATTTTTGCTTTTTATATGTTTGTTTGTATGAATAAGTGTGCAACTCAATTTCCGTGAGCTTGGGTGTTCGCATTTTCGTTTGTTCGCTCTTCATTTTCCAATTTCATATTGTTATTGGTGTTTACGACAACTCGGAACGGATATTTCAATTACGTGTTATTTCGACATTTCCAGAAACCTTGAATTTATATTGATATTTAATGACGTTTAATTTTTCGGGAGTCCCCCGCCGCACAGGAACTCACATTCAATGAACGTTGCGAATAGGCAAAGAACGAGAAGAAGAAGGGCGACGGAAAAAATATTGAATACAAACTGAAAATACTTTGGCATCACAAAGAAAACGGTGAAGCGGTATATATGTGATGGTTACAATCAAAAGATATTTCTCATAAAAATCCAATGAAAACGAAATCGGTTTATACAAGTCTAATTGAGTTTTTATTTTCATTTTTGTAAACGTTGCGTAAGATGTTTGCCGTGACAAAGTACAAAAAGGTACCCATTTTTTTCGATCAAAAGTCCTTTCTCGAGCTGACTGGCAAAATATTTCGGATAATGAATTGACATTGTTTGTTGGCCGATGAAAATAAAATTTATCGCTTAATGATTTCGGTGGAAATGCTTTTTTCAATGGTTATCAAATTCGTTTACCTCATCACTGCTCTCGTTCAAAGACACCAACGAAATGGAATTTTCGTTACTGATGAGCAATTATTCCCATTATTTACACTTATTTAAATGAGTGTATTTTTGACAGTGTCAGCAATGAAAAACAAAGAATAGAAAATGCTGAATTTCATCCTGTTTGAGACGATATAACATTTGAAAAAAAAAACAATAAATCTTAAGTCTTCTGTGTGTGGCATTTACGGGAAACAATGGTTTTTTGTTTTATTTTTCGACATCGGGTGTGCGCAGCGTAGAGAAAATGATCTAATATAATTATTATTTAAAGATTAGTGCAATGTTAATTGGCGGGATTCGGTTTGATGGCAACCGAGAACGGCTGTCATTTCTTCAATCAACCGATAAGGAAAGAGCGTTGCTTTTGGAACGCAACCAAACGCATTCAGGTGGAAAACAGTTGTGGTGTGGTCTGGTCATTCCTCTGCGTATAAAGAAATAATTTTTGTTGTTGTTTGTTATTATATTCATTGTTTATTGTTTGCTAGAGCATACAATTACAAGGGTACCTAATTTCAAACCATTCACCACACATACACACACACAGCCGTATCGAATTCAAGTTGAAGACATATAAATTAAGATATCAACAAAGAGAAAAAACACATTTTACTCCTCTTCGTTCGTACATTTATTTCTTCTCTCTCTCTCTTTTTTTCATTCTAATTTCCATTGTACTTTTGGTATTCAAAAGAATTGTCGGTTCGACAAACATGCATCTAGTCATGAATATACATTTCTCAAGCATTCCCATTTCGAATCCATTTCAAATAACAATCGGAGCAGCTTACCAGACCCATGTATAGTAATTGTATAAAACAAAACGCACAATAAGATGCTCAATGATAATCGCGTAAGAAAATATGTAATGCGTATATAGGTTAGAAACATATCAGTTGGTGTCTGAACGCAATTTTCTCTCGACCTCTCTCTGATGAGCACGCACTGAGCCTTTGCATTAGACACGATATTTGCTCTTTTCTCGCAAATATATTGGATTACCATGTGAATGTAAAGATGTGGCGAATGTGTGTGTGTGTGTGTGTATTTAGGATGATATTTTCAGCATATACAGATTCACCGGCTCACTGATGCCCGAATATGTGGAAAAGAGACGGAAATAAATTAAATTGAGATATTAAATTTCGGGGAAATTGAAAAAAGGTCGTTTCAGGTAGTTAAATTATACACAAAATACACACAAAAGGGACGTAACAAATGGACATACATGCGAATTGTATATGAGTGAGCAAACGAACGAACGGAAAAGTAATTGTGGGAAAGTGGATATGTGTGAGTGAGAACAGAGAGAAGGAGTGAGATCCATATGAGAAGAAACGAATAAAATTCGTCCGTGATGCATGTTCAAGTCCAGAAATTATGTACACACAAACATATAAATAGTGGTTTCAATTCTGTGGCTGTTATTCCTATTTGCCGGCCATTTAAATACATCAAAATGTTTTCGGAATAATGTATGTT